CAAGCGAGCCGTCCCCATCTACTCGGACATCATGACTCGCCGGCTCCTCTACTCCACTCGGCGTCAATCAAGCTAAGTCACGCATTAATATTCTTCTAAATATTCTCTAATCTTCATACGTCTCCGATATCGCTCCATGCTGTTTTATCCATGATTATTCTTCAAACGACTTTTTTCTCCGCATATACCATCTTAAAGATGGCACACGCTTTCGACTCAATAAATCCCCGAACAGTCAGGTTGATGCTCGGATGTCCCCATAGACGGCCTTATCTCTAGCTTCTCCGTACATGTGCACGAGCATCTGCCCTCTACGTTATGGGTGGTTGGCACCAGCTCATTGGCGACGCTTTGTTCTTCCTACACACACGGGCTCCGAGCTCTGTGTTATGGTTAATGGTCTAGCGAGGCTGGAGACTCAGCTATAAACTAACTATTCGGATGGTTTATATTAAATATAAACACTTCATCAAAAAACGAATATAATGTTCATCTACAACTGATCGTCGAGCTGCATACGCTATTTCATCACTGTTGATTTTCTTCCGGGTTTCATATATTTTATTTTTACATCATGAACTACATGTTCTATATATTTTTATTTCAAGGGCCTGGTTCAGTCAACGAGCTTACGCTCGGGGACTAGATCCATCAGGAAGGACAAGAGGATCATCGTCTGGGTGGTCGCGTCACCTGACACTCGGACTTCACTACCGACCAACTGGTCGGACCGTTCAGCTCATGGATTTCATCGTCGACCAGTTGGTTGGAATGTTCGACACTCACTTTTGCTCAGGCATTAACTTTATTGCCGACCAGTTGGTTGAACTTCTCGGCGCTCATCACCAACCCATTGGTCATATTGATCATCGCTTCGGCTTCATCGACAGCTACGCTGAGGACTTGCCAGCTATGCTGGAACTCTTCGGCCCTTGGATTCTTCGTGCAAGAGTCGTCAGCTAAGCTGGGGACCTCCTTTGGCGTTTGGATTTTGCTACGTCTCATCGTTGTGCTTTCAAGTTGTTCCATATTATTCGGATCAGGGTGCTGATCTTGGCCAGCACGTCTGGGGTCTTGATAAGTACACAACAGATGGCGTTGGCAAGCTTTTAGATTTATTTTCTTTGACCCTGCTACAAGATTTATTTCTTCATCTTCCAGCAGGTTCAGAGACTAAGTGGCTACACTTCACCTGACGGTGAATGTAGTGTTTTTTTCTGATTTACCCTTTCTTATTGACTAAGAGTCTAAGTGGCTACACTTCACCTAGGTGAAGAATTTTCAAATTTTATCTTGAGCCCCTTACATCCTTCTGACAAGCCTTACTTACGTAAGTCCGAGATCTGCCTACCAGTTTGCTTCAATCTTCACCGCTCAGATCACCAGTCAAACTGGTCAGCTTCAATTTTCACCGCTCGGCTTCATAATAAACTGCTCGAACTTGATCAAGACGGCGTCGCCAAGCGGATACAAGGCGCTCGGGAACTAGCTATAGGGGTATGACCCCCGGTATCCATAGGGCAAGATATAGGCCGCGCCATCAGAGGTGGCCTAGCCCACAATATAAAGGCCTGCGGCGCACGACACTGGTCGGCGTGCACCGTAAAGCTACAAGAAGATATTGTAATACCAAATAGGATATTTTTCTTGTAACCCTACCTCTTCAGAGTATATAAGGAGGGACAGAGGTCCCCTAGACGATATATCAAATCTGATACACAATCAATACAAAATAACATAGCACACGACATAGGGTTTTACGTCATGCTGACGACCTAAACCTGTATAAATCTTGTGTTTTGTGTCTCTGTTACCATCTAGTTTGTATCACGTGCACCTCCACCGATTCATCTACTATCGTGGACATACCCCTCGATAGACTGCCGGCCGTATTTCGTCGACTAACAACTCCCCACTCGGCGGTCACTCGGGCATACCTGCAACCATCAAGTGCATACCAGCTTTGTTTGCCTGGCCTAGACGCAGAAAACACGTGGAGAAGTTTGTTAAAAGTTGTGCAACCTGTCAACAAGCCAAACGTGAACGTGTCAAATATCCAGGGCTGCTACAGCCGCTGGCTACACCATCCAATGCTATCTCTTGACTTTGGTGGTGTTTGGATCCAGTGGCTAAAATTTAGGAGGTGTGTCGGAAGGATGTTATATGAGGTGTTTGAATACTAATAAAAAAATAAATTACATAATCTGTCAGAATTAATCCGTCATTAGCACATGTCACTGTAGCACCACGTTGTCAAATCATTGACTAATTAGGCTTAAAAGATTCGTCTCACAAATTAGTCGCAAACTATGCGATTAGTTTCGTAATTAGTCTATATTTAATAATCCATGCATATGTCCAAACATTCGATGAGACAGTGACTAAAATTTAGGAGGGGCAACCAAACACCACCTTCGTCGAAGGACTTCCCAACTCTCATGGTTTTGACTGCATATTGGTCATTGTTGATCTCTTGTCGAAGTATGCCCATTTCATTGCCCTTAAACACCCATATACTGCTCTGTCAGTAGCTAAGATGTTCATGATCCACGTCTACCGTCTTCATGGTCTTCCAACTGCTCTCGTATCAGACCGTGACAAGATCTTTACAAGTCAGCTCCGGCGTGAACTTTTCTGGTTAGCTGGAGTTGAATTGAGGTTGAGCTCCGCCTACCACCCCCAATCCGATGGGCAAACGGAGAGAGTTAATCAATATATGGAGACCTTCCTTTGCTGTTTCGCCAATGCAGTCCCCACTAAATGGTATGATTGGCTTCATCTTGCGGAATTTTGGTACAACACCACATGACATTCAGCGTTGCAGCAGTCGCCCTTCTATGTACTATATGGGCAGTCCCCAAGGCAACTGGGCATCGATTCTTCTGCAGCCTGCTCTGTTTCTTCTCTGGACGAGTGGTTGCAGCACCGCTCAACAATTCAAGCTTTGATTCATCAGCATCTTGCTCGAGTAAGAATCGTATGAAGATGCAAGCCGACAAGAACAGGACAGAGCGATCATTTAGTGTGGGCGACTGGGTATATGTCAAGCTTCAACCGTATGTTCAAACATCGGTTGCCCCCCGCTCCAACCAGAAATTGGCTTACCGTTTCTTCGGGCCATATCAGATCATTGACAAGATTGGCATAGTGGCTTACAAGCTCCAGCTTCCTGATACATCAAACATACACCCTGTTTTCCATGTGTCCCAGTTAAAAAGAGCTGTTCCAGTCACTCATACTGCTCGTCCATTACCAGCCACTCTTGATGACTTGCAGGTTCCTCAACGGGTATTGCAGAAAAGGGTCGCCACCATGGGATCCACTGTTCGACTCCGAGCATTGATCCAGTGGTCTGGCCTCCTGGCATCCATGGCGACCTGGGAAGATGTCGATTCTCTTAGGCAACGTTTCCCCAGGGCTTCGGCTTGGGGGCAAGCTGGTGCTTACCAGGGGGATGTCAACAGCACAACCTCCACATCATCAGGCCCATGCTCGGACAACGCCGGCCCATCTGCAGCCCACGACGTTGTCCACGAACGCGAGCCCAGACGCGGAGCCCGCATCAGGAGACCGAACCCGCAAGTCCAAGGCCCGGAATGGGCGTGAGCTACAGCTACCGGTTGCGTGAGCAACTAGGATAAAGTAGTTCAGGAGAGGAGGAGAGAATCATCATTCGAAAAGAACAAACATATTTCTATTGTAGTCCCTCTTCAGTTCTAAGATATATCTGTGCTTCCGATCCCAAATTCTGTGCTACCCTTCCTATATCTCTGCTGCTTAGTGATATATAATTGAATCTTATATATGTCAATTTGTTCTGGTTCTTCAGGAAAAATATCAATATTGGGATTTTTTTAATTTAGTGTTGGTTCTGATCATATAAAATAATACCGAAATGCTATACAACAACCGGGTGTTTTATCACCCGATGACACACGAATTTTTTTGGCTGCGGAACCGCACGTCCGCCGCGCCTGCGCCGCCACGCCCGCGTCACTGCAGCGCCTGCGCCGCCGTGCCTGCACCCACCCGTCCCCGTGCCGCCGCCCCCGGCATCTTCCTCAAGTCCGCGAGCTTTTTCCCCAACTCCGGCACCGCCACCAAATTTATCTCTGTCCTTTTATAAAAAAAAATTGTTACTTGTGATTTGTGATTTGTTACTTGTGATTTGTGATTACTTATGATTTGTGATTTATGTCAAGGATGAAGAGAAGAGAGGAGGGAGATGAATAGTATCTATGGGGAAAAAATTCAGATGTTACCGGGTGCTAAAACACCCGGGTGTTAGATAGACAAGCTCAAATAATATATATCCTACAACATAAAGTATAGAATTACTAGCAAATATAAACAGAAAAAACCTACTGTTTGTGTGCGTGTGTGCTGATATCCGCCTATCATCCAAGCCCTTTTGTTATTCCATTTACACTCTACGTACTTTGCTTCAATCCATAGCTATAGCCTGATCAAGCTTTTTATCTCAATCAAAAAATTCCTAGACACGGGTCTCTGTAATATGATGCATGCGTTTGGAGTTTTCTTCCATCCTCCATCCGAACGGGCAGGTGGCACTGCTTGGCAGAAAGCATGAGCGAGCATGTATCTCTTTCAGAACAAATTCCCATCTCTCCACTCATGCACGCCGCTAACCGTCATTTAGCAAAGCAACAATGCATGGCCAGGGAGCTTGCACGCTATAAAAGCAGGGCCCGTCCATGTATCCTGCATCGATCAGGTCTCAGCATTGCAGATCTATCACTGCACACACACACGCACACGGCACACGTACGAGGCAGCAAACAAGGCCGCTGAGTAGAGCACCACCACCATGGCGTACTACTCGGAGTCCGGCTACTGCGCGTAGGAGGCGAGGAGGCCGTACGCCGAGCCGGGGTTCTGCCACGGCGAGGGCGGCGGCGAGCGCTACGCCGTCGTCCGCAAGGAGTACGAGGAGGTGGACGAGATGGCGCACGATGGCAGGGGACACTACGGACACGGCCATGGCCACCTCGGCCACGGCCATGACCATCGTCTCGAGCACAGCGGCAGCTAGCCACCGCCACGTCCATGGCGGGCACGAAGGATCATGCCATGGTGGCTACCTCGGGGAACACCGTGAGCAGTACCACGTGCACGGGCACGGCCACGGTGGGCGCCTGTACGACGCCTGCGAGAGCAAGCGCTACGACTCGTGCACCGGGCAGTACTACGCTTGAGCACGCATCACGTACTGCCACCATCAGGGCTCTGCCTGCCTGACAGAGGTCGCTATATATATGACTGAATGCATGCATCATCTCATATAGTACTATGTGTGAGTGTGTGCACGACTGCACGGTCCTAGTATGTATGCGTTTGCTGCACGTACGCATGTACTTGTGGTATGCATGCTGATGCACCTTATGTATACGAGAATAAGACCGTGAAGTGAATAAAGGAAAGGGCCCGCGTGTTTATTATTACCCTTTTCCGGTACATTTAGATTGTTTGGACTTGTTAGACTAACTAGAATCTTTGGTATCCTTTGGTTTTTGATTCACATTTAGGCCCTGTTCGGTTGGTGTGGATTGGGCCCGGGAACTATTTCAGCTTATGAACCCTATACAAATTATTGAATCATTTCAACCAGGAACCATTCCAAGGACCAATCTGGAGTAACCGAACGAGCCCTTAACTGGAAGCTTCCTAACCATGAAGGGAGACAGAGACGGAGGACGAAGCTGAGGAAGGGAGGGAGGGGGCAGAAGGGTGTGGCTATGGCTTGATGGGAATCGGCACCGAAGAGGCTTGGAGGGGAGACGACGGGAGAGGGAGGCTACTGCCTATGAGGAATCGGTGCTGACATGTTGGGGAAATATTTGATGAGGAGGACCAGGAGTCTGTTTTTTATATCTAAGTAGGGTTTTTTTAATGTTGGCCCTTAATAGACTGGTTTACAAACGGAACGTGCTCATGACGGCACTGCGGGCTGAAGGAGCGGTCCAAGCACCACTTATGCTTTGGGCTGGACCGATATAAGCCAGATAGCAATGTCGGGCCATGCTTAAATGGGCCATGCCCCATGTTGCCTACGTGGCCCAGCCCATTTGACCATATATAGTTGTTGCTCTGAACAGTGACCGATGCATGGTCTAAGTTTTAATTCTTCAAATATACTTCTATGCAATCCCTGACTCGTCCCTTGCAGCTGTGGCTTGTCTGTGCATGTCTTAGTTAGCTCACCCCTAATGTATTGTATCGTGTAACTCCTTATAAAGCTATGCATCTGAGTTCAAGTCTTGACTTAGTACGGGTGGTCACACTTTCCTGATTTATTTTAGGATTTAACTGCTCTATTCTTCCAGTGGAAGGAGTTGTGTCTGTCGATAGCAAGACTCCTGCGATAATTGATCAATAATTTCAAAATCTACCGGCCCAGTCTTTCAGATGTGCTCACAGAGATATGGTTTGCTTGTGTCCGTTCATAAGAGTGAGTAACATGTGTGTGTGTGTGGGGGGGGGTTATAAGGACCGAATGGCACAAGAGAGGGTAAATTGGCTATAGAAACTTAAAGCAACAATCTAGCACCTCGACACCTAAGTTATTTTACAAAAGAAATCTAAGAAGTTCTTAGGGTCATCACACCTAATCAACTCCTTAGTAAAGGATCACACTAACAATTAGATCCTTATAAGCAAGAATTTAACCTATGCTAAACACTCTACCATGGAATCCTAGTTGTCAATCAAAGAAACTTGCACACAAACAAGCTCAAGCAAAAAGTAATGCCAGAATGAACAAGAGGCAAAGAGAAAAAAGTGGATTTTTTCCTAGGTATTAGATTGTTGTCATAATCCCCTAATATATGTTGGAGCACCTAAGATTCACCAAGAGTCGGTTACACTCCACTTCACTAGCGAATCCCCATTCTTCGCTTTGGAGTGGTGGGTTTGAAACCATGACCACCACTTGGAACCTCCTCAACAAGAACTCTCCATTGAGAAAGGTCACAAGTCCTCCACCAAGTTGTCTACGTGATGACAATCATAACAAAGTCTTCAGCTCCAACTCAAAAAATGTAACCAATGCAAGAACGCTAATAGCAGTCAAGGCTAACACTCCAATCTCACCTCTTGACTTTGATGGGCCTCCAAAGGCTTCACGATCAGGCTTCACGATCCTCTTTATAAGTGCTGACAACAATGTGGTGGATGAGCAGCTCCAAATGAGCTAGTAGTAGCACTTATATAGAGGGTGGAGCCTTTTTTTTTAATTTTAACACTTTTTCAAAATTAATTTTAAATCTAACATGGTCGGTTTTTTTAAAACTAACACTTTTGGCCGCGCCTATTGCCCTGGCGCGGCCAAATGCCTGTGCCGCGCCATGCATGGTGGCGCGGCAAAGGGCTGACGTGGCGGCGACCGGAACCGCTGACCGCTGACGGGGCAGGGCCTGCCGTGCCACCGATCTTGGCGCGTCAGTGCCGCGCCCTGATCCGTGGCAGGGCCAAATAAAACCCCCGTCGCGTCCCGCGTCTCCCAGTGGCCAAGCAGCCACCGTTGCCCGAGCAGCAGCGCAACAAGGCCGCCTGGCCGCCGCGCCACGAACGCCGGTAGCCCGCCCCCCACCCGGCCGTCCATTGCCGCCTCCCTCCCTTCCCTTCCATTCCCCGGCCGCCTCCCTCCTCGTCCTCGTTCAAGGTAATGACGCACATTTTATTTTCATTTGAATGGTGGATAGAATATTATGAATGGGAGTTAAGGTTAGGAGGAAAATTATGCTTGGGAACTATGGTCTACGGTTTGAAGGAAGATATTAGTTTGATTTTGTCAATGTTAAGGTTAATTATTTAGTTAGAAGTATGTTTACCATGTATTTTTTGTTGCTATAATTGTCGGTTATATTATTTTAGTTGCATTGCAAATGATTATATTTTACATTAATTTGCGTTGTTTTGATTGATGTTTAATTGGAACCGTTTTATTAGATGGAAGACATTTTGGGAGCAGTTATGGCGAAAACGGGATCGTCCTAGAGAATTATACCCCGATGAGTCTATCAAAGATGCCCCCGTCCCTCCTGAACTCCCTGTCCCTAACTGTGACTGTGGTCGTCCGGCCGACGTGTTTCAATCGAGACATCCGGACACAGCGACTCGTTGCTTCTACACGTGCAGTCGTTTTAATGTAAGTAATTGTTTCCGTATATTTTTATTTTCATTTGTATTACTAGGTTACTAATATTTTATTGAATTTTTGTTGTGTAGGACCATGAAAGGTGCCTTTTCTTTCAGCGGATCGATGGTGCAGACAAGTTTGACCCCAGGTACCTCCTTTTCGATGATTGGTGGAGAGGGCGACATCCACGGGAGCACTTCGAGCGGTGGGTTCCACCTTCCCCTAACCCCCCTCCAATGACAGCTAAGGAGAAGCACTTAGCCGTAGTTAGACGACTCGAGGAACCTCATTTGTGCGATTGCGGAGATCGAGCCGTGATAAACCCTGAGAATACGTTGGAGTTTGTGTATCCAAACAAGCATGAAGTAAGTGCAAAGTGTATGTGTTGAAATGTTGAGCTATATATGTTCATGTACTAATGTCACGTTATTTAGGTGTATTCAATGGCGAAGTGTCGTTTCAAGGAGTGGTTGTATAGTCTGAAGAACTAATGGCCTGAAGAACCTCCAAAAGCAAAGCAAAAGAAGAAAGAAAGGTTAATTTACAAAGCACCGCCAGTCAAGTGCGAATGTGGTGTTAAATACAACTACGGTCTAGTCCCTTTGGAGCTTGAAATAGGTCATTATTGCGGCCATATGATTGACTATGATGAGGTTGGTTATTTTTATGGTAACCATGGGATTGTATTTTGTTTCTTTTGCTAAGACATATATGATATAATTTATCGTTTCAACAGAGCACTAGGAAATACAGGTGGGAATGTTATGATAGTCAAGCTAAGTTCTTGGATGAACTGAAGAGGAAGCAAGTAATTGCACGGAAGAGGGGATATGGACATGACTACGTCAACCTTTTCATTAAACATCACAAAGAGAAGATGTGTGAGTTTGCTAGGCAGTGCGGTATTTGTAACCCGATCGACGTTGGGCTTATCAAATGGGGATTGGAGAGACATATGACATTAGAGGAGGAGAGGGCAAGGGAGGAGACAAGAGTATAGATGCAAGTCTTGAACGAGCATGTTGTTTCATTATGTGCCAGTGAGTGCTTGGAAGCCTTTTTTCGTTGCCTGATTTTAAATGGAATATAATCGCGTTGCTAACTGATTGCATTTTATACATGTAGGGATTGGATGCAGCGAGGACCATGCTGCAGAGGTGGCTTGTGCAAGGTACGAGGAAAAGAAGTTAGATGAGCATAGAAAGTGAGCTGGTCGCACCGTTGAATCACCGATTGTGTTGTCTGATGAGGGGGACGAGGATGAGGACGACACTGCCAGACTCAGTGAGCTCATCGCTCTAGCAGAGGCGGGCTTGCAGGCGGAGGAGGCTGAAGATGACACTGGTAGACTGAGCGAGCTCATCGCTCTAGTAGAGGCGGGCTTGCAGGCGGAGGAGGCTGAGTACGACACTGCCAGACTGAGTGAGCTCATCGCTCTAGCAGAGACGGGCTTGCAGATGGAGGAGGATGACGACGCGTTCTTTACTCAGGCCGTAGAGGCCGCAGATGAAGCAAAGGCCGCTTACTACAGGTGAAAGGCAGATCATGGCAATGCATGTGAGCCTAGCCACAGCAACAGGGTTATGGTTGAGGATTGGTACTCGGACGACAAGTTGCTTACTCAGTATGTTTCTGACTGAGGGTTTTTGATTGTGCCGTCTGTTAGTTCCATGCTTTATTAATGATCAATATAGCTATGTAGTAGAAATTCCATTGTGTTGTCTTATATTCCATTTGAACTACTGATGTATTGTACTCATGTATCATGTACTCGGATTACCCATGATCGATCTTAAGTGATCACATCAGTTTGTATCATGCGTTCAAAATTTCTAAATCGAACGTAATCGGGTGAAATCGAACGTTAGTGCCGTGCCATGGTACATGGCGCGTCAGTGCCGCGCCATAGACAACGGCGTGGCAGTGACGCGGATAGGCAACGGACAGTTTCAATTGTGATGTTGTCGGTGCTGTGCAAAACTACAAGTGCTACCTCGACTGTGCGCAAGTTGAAACGAACATGAAGCAAATAAATGGACGATAAGTTGCCACATAACA